GCACTTAAGATTTAGTGCTAGGCATTAAGTCCTTTGGTGCTGGTTTTCTGGGTAGAACATTTTAAAAAACTAAGTTGCAGCCAGCAGTTCAGAGCACAGAACACCAGCAGGTGCTCCCCGTTTGCAGAGGGCAGAGAGGCGTGCAGAGTTATAGGGTCTCGACCAGCTCTGACCAAGCAGCTCTCCATGCAGTATCTGCGCCCCATTCCTACCCGAGCTCCCCTACAGAAACAAGTGAAGTAATGTTAGTTATGCCAGATCGTACCTTTGGGGGCAAGTTCTTATAACTGCACGGCAATCTTCAGTGATTTCAAAATACAAGGTTTTAAAAAACCAAACAAGAGTTCCTTCCTTAGCACAGAGAGACAGACAACAGCATGAAGCCAACAAAACCCTGCGACGGCCCGATGAGTCAGGACTCCACCCACAGGAAAGAGCCCCTCATGCTCAGGACAGGTTCTCAGTCTCCCAAAGAGTTATTTCATAGGAATGATGTTTTTTCCTTTAAAAAACAACTTTTCTTCTGTTCAAAGTGATGCTACTACTTTGTCAAGACTGACTGCTCTTTCTGGTTTATGAATCAACTAGAGGCCCGATGCACAAAATTCGTGCAAAAGTAGGCCTTCCATCCAAGCTGCCGGCACCAGCTTCTTCCCTCTGGCACTTGGGACCCAGGCTTCCCTCGCAGCCCCGGCTTTGTCTGGAAGGTCCTCTGGAAGGACGTCCAGTCTAATTAGCATATTACGCTTTTATTATTATAGATAACTCTGTCCTGTGTTGGTGTCATTGCTAAATGGACTGCTGTTGTTTTGCTCTAAGACTTCCACAAGTGCTCTGAGGGACGCAGCCACTGCAACGCTGCAAGCGACACACGGCTGTGGTCTGCAGTCTGTGCGTGTCAGTAGAGCACGCCCACTGTTTCTGAAGATGGAGCCCAGTTTTTTAAGTCAGGGACTTCTGTCGGCAGAAGCACTGTCAAGAACCGGGCTGTGATCATCCAAGGCACGATCCTCACTTAGGATTAGTTTAGTCCAGAACACAGACTTACTGTCAGGTATGGAACATAACATAATCCAGCCAAGATCAAAGAGCATGGTCAGCTCTGATTAACTTAAAATATCTAAGGCATTTATTTATAAAAGCAATTAGCCCTGAAAAGTAAGTCAGTTCAATAAGAGGAAAATTCTCTTAAAAAATAAGCCAAAAACTTCGGACAAAGAAAAAATCAACTGAGCGCTGGCTGGGCAGCTCAGTTAATTGGACCGTCATCCTACACCAAAAGGTTGCAGGTTCAATCCTGGATTGGGGCGTGTACTAGAGGCGACCAATTAATGTTTCTCTCTTTCCTTTCTCTAAAATCAATAAAAACATGTCTTCCGGTGAGGATTAAAAAAATAAATAAAAAGAGTCAGCTGACATCCTATGAACAGCAGTAATATCTAATCCTATCACAGCCAACACCAAATCCATTCAGGGCGTACCTACCAGATGAGTTGGTCATTATAGAGAAAGGCAGTGTATTTGACTATACTCAGGCTCTCCTCCATCCTGTTAATAAAGGACTGGATTTTCAAATAAGTCATTTTATCCAATGGGAAGAAGCTGATTCCACCAAAAATGTCGAGTAGATCGCATGACTGCAAATGCAGCGTTTGCAAATACTGTAGGAAAAAATAAGGCACAACATTTATAAATAAGCACACTGAATATAGTACTCTTTGACAACTGAAGATAATTAGCCCTAATTAATGGTACAACACAACCACACACTGGCAACAGCACGCCGACAAACCAGCCAGTGGGTGCACCACAGATAACTGGATCTGAAATTAGTACCAATTTCAAAATATAAAGTTCAAACACAACTCATTAATGTTTCCTCAGTATTGTGTTTTCTCTCTTTGAAGTATTTGATTCCTTTTATTAGTGCATCTCAAATTAGGTTAGCCCTATTTGTGATATCACGGATATACTTAGTTATGTCTTTAATTTAAATTCAATTAAAATGATGTTGAGCCGAAACCGGTTTGGCTCGGTGGATAGAGCATCGGCCTGCAGACTGAAGGGTCCCAGGTTCGATTCCGGTCAAGGGCATGTACCTGGGTTGTGGGCACATCCCTGGTGGGAGATGTGCAGGAGGCAGCTGATCGATGTTTCTCTCTCATCGATGTTTCTAACTCTCTATCCCTCTCCCCTCCTCTCTGTAAAAAATCAATAAAAGATATTTAAAAAATAAATAAATAAAAGGCCATAAAGTTGAGAACCACTGCTCTAAAGGTTTGTCTGGACACTATCAGGATTGTAAATAAAATTCAAAATACTTACCCGATGGAAGAATTTCTCTAATCTTTCTTTTAGGAGCTTGACACCTCCATTTTCCATGGCTCTCATAAATGTACCGTTAAAAAGCTAAGGGTGTAAAAAGTTTTAAAAAGTCAATTTCCCATGCCCTTCAATCATCCGGTATGACAAGTTCTTCTTTTACTTTTAGATTAATTTGACTTATTTAATCCCCCAGTCCCTTTTAAATATAGGATCTAGTCACATGAGAAAGGAGAAGTTATAAAATAAGTCACCAAAAATTAACACACTGTTAAGTGATGTTGTGATTTTTATGAAATCACCTAATTGTTTTGGGCATGTTTTTAACCTCAGCTCATACCTACATTTAACTTTACATAAGTATCGTCACCAGACTTCTTAAACCAGATAGTGTGTATTTTCCTCAAGAACTTGGACTGTCTTGTTCACCAATAGGGACACATTCCTAGTACAGGGCCAGGAATGGAGAAGTACTCCAAGCTCATTGAGTAAGTGTACATGCAAACTCAATACTGTCCCAGAGGTCCCATAATTTCTTCCCCTCATCCAGCTACACAGTCACCTTGCAATAATCTAAAGAATTAAGAATTAGTTTTAACCCCTGTCAATGGGGGTAACTGGCTAGATTCAATTCAGAAACAATGTCACGCTCACCTTGTACATGCTGTAGCACTGCTGGAGCACGGAACTATAAACCTTGTCCTGCAAACAACACAAAGACACAGCACAAGTCTCAAGGTGAAAGGAAAGAAAATTCTATTACACGGTAGGTAGAGTACAATGACTGTTGGCAAAGCAATATGATGTTTATAAACCTGATCCCACAATAGTTGTGTGCTGAAAAGAGAGCTATTTAAATTCAATTATAAAGCAGTAAACCTGATTGCAGGAGGGATTTAAACATGGATGATGAGAAGACATGGTACATCTACCTTTTTATAAGATTGTACTAATGTAAACAGTAGTTAGAAAACCTTACTATGTGTGTCCTGAGAAACTTCTGCAAAGCAACATAGCTTAAAACTGGCTGAGAAAATCACCCAACATATTTAGGAATAAATGTTTTCCTAAAAAATATGAAATAAATGAATGACATTACCAACAACTCCTCTTCTTGGTATTCAACAACTGGTTTTCCATCTTTACTTTGCTTTTCAATTATAGGATTCCGAACAACCTACAAAGTTTGATAAAGTGAAATTATACAATGAATCAATTGTTTTAAAATTTCCCCCTAAACTTAAATATTTGATCCTGTCACAACAAAAACACATTTCTTAAAACAGCCACAAGAACAAATACTGAATAGGAGTTGGATTTTAAAATTGCAACCAATCTTATTGTAATTTTACTCTGATGCAATGGCCAGAGGACTTTCCTAAATTCTTAACAGTAAAGATCACCCATAACTTTACAATTTCAAGAAGATGTACTGTGTATGTAAATACCATGACCATCCAGAAATTTTCCTCTGGTTCGTTGAAGAACTGCCTATTCTTCTGTGTGTGTAAAGACTTCGCAGGCTTTGATGGACTGAAGGTCCTAAAAGGGTGAGAAGGACGTGTTGGGGACGACTCTCCAGTGTGAGCTGTAAGAACCCACTGAGCTTTGCAGAAGCGCCTTTAAAGGCGTTACCTTGTAAACTGTACAATAGCTTCACACAAGCCGACATTTCTAATTTTTTCGTTCTTCTCCACTTCATTTGGGTAATAAAACAAAATTTTGTTTTCCTCCTACGTATGAAGGAGAAACAGAACCGCAGCATTAACATAAACATTTTAAAAATCTTAGCTGTTGAAAATGCTGTTTAATGTCAACCTCTCATATCATATATGCTAAAGGAAAAAAAAATCAACCATTCCCAAGCAAAACACACACACACACACACACACACACAAAACTTTTCAGAAAGAGAATGATCCTTTCAATGTCTAAAACGCTCCTCAGGCTGAAGGACAATTGTGTTACACACGCAACGGAGGTAGCACTACTGGACAATTACTCTGGCACTCCATCTTCGGAGTTCCTTCCTCATGCTGGTTTGTAATAAATACATCAACACTAGAAAGAAATAGGCGTGTGCATGTGCGCGTGCGTGCGCGTGTGCACAAACTTCCACCTCCCCGCGAATGACACCCAGCAGGTTCGTGGGCATTTGAACTGACAGCCTTTAAAGGGGCTGTGATTTCCTGCAGGCAAAACCTGGCTCCGGACATCCCTTGGGGAAGTCGCCGTCCCCCCCACCTACAGCCAATACGGACACAAACTCCTGGAACTTAAGACACTGAGTAATAACTGGGGAATCTCTGCGAGGGTCCTTCCGCCAAGCCCGCGTGACCTCGGGGCTCCGGTGGGGCCCCCTCTCTTCCACGCCGCCGGTCGGGGACTTCCAGGAACAAAGACGCCCGCGCAATGTTAGCCACGCCAGGACCCACGCGAAGAGAAGGGACTCGACCCGTGTGCGGCGGGCGACTCACCCAACGAGTCTTCACTCCACACACGGGCACTGATCCGGGACCCGAAGCACCCTGGCTGCGCTGC